AGATTAGAGAAAAAAAAGGATAAAAAGGAATGAGCAAAGTCTCCAAGAAATGTGGGACTATGTGAAAAGACCAAATCTACGTTTGATAGGTGTACCTGAATGAGACAGAAAGAATGAATCCAAGATGGAAAATACCCTTCAGGAAATTATTCAGGAAAATTTTCCTAAACTAGCAAAGCAGGTCAATATCCAACCCCAGGTAATACAGAGAACACCACAAAGATATTCCTCCAGAAGAGCAACCCCAAGGCACATAATCATTAAATTCACCAGGGTTGAAACGAAGGAGAAAATACTAAGGGCAGCCAGAGAGAAAGGTCAGGTTACCCACAAAGGCAAGCCTATTAGACTTACAGCAGATCTCTCAGCAGAAACTCTACAAGCCAGAAGAGAGTGGGGGCCAATATTCAACATCCTCAAAGAACAGAACCTTCAGCCCAGAATTTCATATCCAGCCAAACTAAGCTTCACAACCGAAGGAAAAATAAAATCTTTTATGAACAAGCAAGAACTCAGAGATTTTATTACCACCAGGCCTGCTTTACAAGAGCTTCTGAAAGAAGCATTACACACAGAAAGAAACAACCAGTATCAGCCCTTCTAAAAATATACCAAAAAATAAAGAGCACCAACATAAAGAAGAATTTATACCAACGAATGGATAAAACAGCCAGTTAACATCAAAGGGCAGTAACCCTAAATTTAAATCAACTAAATCCCCCAATCAAAAGACACAGCCAAAACCCAACGGCATGTTACATCCAGACCTGTTTCACAGGCAAGGATACACAAAGACTCAAAACAAAGGGATGGAGAAAGATTTACCAACCAAATGGAGAGCAAAAGTAAATAAAAAAAAAAAAAAAAAAAAAAAAAAAAGCAGGAGTTGCAATTCTCGTATCGGATAAAATAGATTTTAAAGCAACAAAGATATAGTGGTAAAAGGATCAATGCAACAACAAGAGCTAACGATCCTAACACCCAGATACAGAGACTTAGACACAATGAGACAGAAAATTAATAAGGATATCAAGGACTCGAACTCAGATCCGGAACAAGTAAACTTAATAAATATTTATAGAGCTCTCCACTTCAAGTACCCAAAATATACATTCTAGTCAATACCACATCACACGTACTCATAGGTTTAAATGAAACATTGGCCATTACTAATACCCATTTTTTTTAAGAATAAAGCAATATTTCCACTCACTCTCCCTCTTTCTCTTCCTCTCCTTTACTCATTTTTTTCTTGTTTCCTTCACTCAAAAAAAAAAAAAACAAAACAAAAAAACAAACAAAAAAAAAACAGTGCTGGAGACCCTCGTCAATGGACATGAAATGTGGTCGTACCACATTACATTCGCTGTAGTTCTCCAAATAATCACTTACGCTCATCACTTTTGCAATTAGGGTAGTTAACATGCTAGCCACTAACTCCTGACATTAAATTCAGGGCTTCTCTGGGACTCCTGCGCATACTAATCACCCGGGCTTAGGAGGGTCTCATCAAGATGCAGATTCTGATTCAAGAGGTCTGCGGTGCAGGCTGGGTTCCTGCATTTTGATCTACCAAGCTCCCAGCTGAGGTGGACATTTCTGGTCTTTGTACCACAGTTTGGGTAGCAAGGGTTTAAAGTATGAAAACTGCATATGTAACATTGATGACCAAATCATAATATGGTTTTTTAAAATGTGATACATCTTATTAGATATAAAGACATCTTTTTGAGAAGAGTCCACCCAAATTGCCATGAGTGCATAGCAGAAGGAAGGTCACAAATGCCTTCACCTGGCTGTTCTGGATGGAGACAGATCTACCAACTGGGTCCTGGAGAGAAGACCATAAGGAATGCAGCTGGGGCTGACTGTGGGGGACAGTGGCATATACGGAGCAGTCTTCAGTTGTCACTGATGTTGACATTGCTATCTCAGCCTAATCTATGCCTCCTCCTGTGCTTCTAAGGATTGCAGCAGAGAGGGGATTGTGTGGAAGTTCTACCAAACTTTCAAGGAAAGACATTTCTGTGGTCAACTGTTTCACAGCAAAGAGAAAGATTTTTCTTCAGCTCACTTTATAACAGCTACACGATACCAATGCCAAATGAAGAAATACAAAGTGGGATAAAAACACAAACATAAATCAGTCTCCTTTATGAAGTTATATAGATGCCACAGGACCATCTTAAGCTAGTGATATCGGTGGGGAGAAGGGTGGCTCACACCTGTAATCCCAGCACTTTGGGAGGCCAAGGCAGGAGGATCCCTTGAGGCAGGAGTCTGAGACCAGCCTTGACAACGTAGTGAGACCTCATTGCTACAAAACATAAAATAAAATCAGCTGGGTGTAATGGGCCATGCATGAGGCACAGGCATGAGGATCACTTGAGCCTGATCACCTTCCAGCCTGGGTGACAAAGCAAGACCTTGACTCAAAAAAAAAAAGGAGGGAAATGCAATCCATTTGAAACGCAACCACTATTCCCAATTAAATACACACCTCCGAAAACCAGCCTCAGAAGGCTAAGAATAAACTTGAATGCCATGAGTGATCTTGCCCAAAGTCCCAGGGATTCTAACCCTACAGTGATGGCGACGTCAAAGCATGCCCATAAGGAGGAAGACAGACGATTTGTTTTGACTGCTACTCTTCAATGTGAACTGAAGCACCAGCACCAAGGCACACAAGGTCAAGTATAATGCAGAAAGAGAAAAGTTATTTGCATATGTTCATTTACTTAGGCAATCCAAAAGAACTACATGTTAGAATCCCTGCCTCCCACTCAGAGCTGGGTCAGAGACATGCTGACCTTTTCCCCTCTTCTCTTGGTAACAGAACCTTCTTTGTAGCTGGGTACCCAGCGACACAGGAGTGAACTGCCTTTTCCCAGCCTTCATTTCCACAGCTGGGGGTGGCCATGTGATTAAGTTCTGGCCCAAGAGGTGAGCCTAAGTGATGTGCCTTTAGGGTGGCAGGAGGCCATTGTGGGATGACCAAGCAATGCAGGAATCTGTGTCCCTGAAACCACGGGGCTGGTGCCACCCCAGCCTGATCACTTACATCTGGAACATCACGGGGCAGAAATACTTTGGCTTTAAACTGCCATTACTTGAGTCCCACTAGTCACAAGGGATGCTACTTCTGGATCATGCCCCAAGGGAGAAATACCAGGAGGCCCCCATACCTCTTCTCCTACTTTCCATTAGTTCAATTCAGAGAACTAAAGCAGTCACCTTGAGCCCAGGGAAGCAGCCTCAGTTTACTTACACTAGGAAGGTGCATCTGCTTCCCCGACTCAAGAACAATGCCTTACCTTCTATGTCCTGGATCCCCAGCATGCCCTGCACTACCTCAAGGAAACCTTAACCCAGCTCCTGTGCCTCTCTTGGGTTGACCCCAGCACTGCGGATGTTGCGGGCCTTTAGTTCTTGTGAAGGCTAGCTTGTGAAAGTTAAGATTCTTGGCCTCCGCCCGCTGAATGGCAGTAGCCTAGCCCCAGTTGAGAACAATCGCTCAAGTTATTTTCAGGATTGAGTTACCCATTCTGAAATTCCTTAATCCGAGCTGTCTCATCTTTCCTGAAAGGGCCCCACAAATCTGCATGCCTTTACTGACATCATCATCCTGGTAGCCTGTCTTCCAAGGTGTCCAACATTTCCTTGCTAACACGCTTGTCATGATCCACTGTCCCCAGGCAAAAGTGGCTATCTCTTCTATGATAGCACAATGCCCATCTTTCTGGACAGAGACCTCTGTCTCTGTCTAGAAAGCTCTGTCCTCTCAGTGAAGGGGCTCCAGAGGCTCATCTGGGCACGTGTTGCCCTCTTGAAACCATTCCTCATGCCCCCTTGACGCTTGGTATGGACATCACTAAGTCTTGCTCATGTTTCCCTAAGTCACAAGGGCTACTGCTTCTGGGTCACAGCCCAAGGGAGGTATGCTGTGGCCTGCTTCCATTGCCCACTGGTTAAGAGATGCAGAGAACTAGAGCAGCTGCCTGGGACCCAGAGGCTAAGTCACATGTCCAGGATGGCAGAGCCATTGGACTAGCTGTGGACTATCTGCCGCTGAAGTTGTACTTGAGAAATAAACCAGACTACGTTTAAGTCACTTAGAGTGGTTTCTGAAAGAACAAACCAATATCCTTGTTCAAACACGCAAGTATAGGATTTGTATTACAGACTAAGTGTTGCCAAAGTGTTTTATAAAGGGCAAGATAGCATTTTAGGCAGGATGGGCATGGTGGCTCATGCCTGTAATCCCAGCACTTTAGGAGGCTGAGGCGGGTGGATTGCCTCAGGTCAGGAGTTCAAGATCAGCCCAGCCAACATGGCGAAACCCCATTTCTACTAAAAATACAAAAATTAGCCGGGCATGGTGGTGGACACTTGTAATCCCAGCTACTCAGGAGGCTGAGGCAGCAGAATCACTTGAACCTGGGAGGTGGAGGTTGCAGTGAGCTGAGATTGCACCATTGCACTCCAGCCTGGATGACAGAGCAGGAGACTCTGTCTCAAAAAAAAAAAAAAAAAGAAAAAAAAAGTATTTTAGGCTTTGTGTGCCCTACAGTCCCTGTAGTAACTACCCTGCACTTGTAGGGCCAGAAAGCTGCAAACAACAGGGAAACCAATGAGCATGCCAACAGGCTGGAGCTGCCTGTGGAGTCTGTGGACTCCTGGTATAGATCATGGCACTCCTTTGCTCAGCACATCTTATTTCTAGTCTCAGCAGCCGACTGCCCTAAAAAAAAAAAGCACCTTTAAGAAGCCACCTTATTACTCTATTAAGATTACTACAGCCATAGGTCTGTGTGGCTCTGGCAGGCTCTTTATCTTCATTTCACACCCCTTTTGCTCCTTCTCCCAAGCCCACCCCACTAGACTAAGTTTCACGAGGCAGATGCGGCAGAGACCGTCCCGTTCATTACTGTGTCCCTAGCACTTAATTCACATTCTCTTCCTATCTTCTTACTGCGCTGTTGAACAGAGTGGATACCTACCCGTGTGGATTCTAAGATGGCGGTCCAAGTCTTTCATGCCGTGGACAGTTTTGAAGTGGCAACCTAGAAAAGAAAAATAGAATTTTTTTTTTTTTTGAGAGAGGCAGTGGCATAATCTTGGCTCACTGCAACCTCTGCCTCCCGGGTTCAAGTGATTCTCCTGCCTCAGTCTCCTGAGTAGCTAGGATTACAGGTACCCGCCAATACGCCTGGCTAATTTTTGTATTTTTGGTGGAGACAGGGTTTCACCATTTTGGCCAGGTTGGTCTCGAACTCCTGACCTCAGGTGATCCACCCACCTCGGTCTCCCAAAGTGTTGGGATTATAGGCGTGAGCCACCACGCCCTCCCTGAAAATACAATGCTTAAAACAGAATCTCAGTTGAGTGTGGTGGCTCATGCCTGTCATCCCAGAGCTTGGGAGACCAAGGTGGGAGGATCACTTGAGGCCAGGAGTTTGAGACCAGCCTGGGCAACATCAAGAGACCCTCACCCCCATTAAAAAAAAGTTACCCAGACATGATGGTGCATGCCTGTAGTCCCAATTACTCAGGAAGCCAAAGAGGGAAGATCATATGCACTCACTGAGTGAGTTGGAGGCTGCAGTGAGTTATAATCATGCTACTATATTCCAGCCTTCACACAGCAAGACATCATCTTGGGGGCAAAAAAAAGTGTGCCTGTAAATGTATAACCTCAAGATGGAAACGACTATGAATCCGACGTTCTGGTAAGTGCCATGCTGAGCTCTGGATGCTACAAGGACTCTTAGGGCCTCAGAGAAGGCTGTGTGTGCTGATGTGGATGGTCGCGGGTTGACAGCATGCAAGAGTGACAGGAGCAGTTAGCATGAGGATTCACGAAGGGCCTGCTTATCAGCGCTTGGAACGGAGAAGGGGCTCAGCGCGCCGGGTTTTCTTCTTACCTGGGTAGCAACAGTTGAATGTCCTCTCTCCAAGGGTGGCCGTTTGTTCCCTTGACTCTGAGGCAAGAGCGATGACAGGGGCCTTCTGAGGGTCACTGCCTTCAGTGGAGAGGCAGGTCGCTTTTGGAACATCATTATCAAGTTCCGAAGCTGAAATCGAGGCACGAGGTTTTGCTTAGTTTCTCAACTATAACCACCATGCTGAGTCTCAGAATACAGTAGGTTTGGCTTATTTCACCTCCCTTCACCTTTCCAAAAAAGTTTAAAACATGAAAGCCATGTATGCCCTAACTAGTCTTGCAAAAGTCCTTTTCTCCTTACTATAGTTACCAAGAAGTACAAGGGCCAGGACACTGTCACATAAACGGGAAAAATGGCAAAATCCAGACTAAAAAATTTAACATTTGAGTACTTCTTAAATGGTATGAAAAACTAGTTTTTTAAAACAATCCACCACAGGCTGATATTTCTGTAAAATATAAGCACGAATTAGGAGAGAGGTGAAATAAGACACAAAAGAGCCCAAATATCACTACATAGAGCAAAAAGCTGGATGCCATGGCAATGTCAGGTTTTTTTTTTTGAGATGGAGTCTCAGTGTGTAGCCCAGGCTGGAGTGCAGTGGCGTGATCTCGGCTCACTGCAACCTCTGCCTCCCAGGTCCCAGTTCAAGCAATTCTACCTCAGCCTCCCAAGTAGCTGTGATTACAGGTATGAGCCACCATGCCCAGCTAATTATTGTATTTTTTAGTAGAGATGGGGTTTCACCATATTGGTCAGTCTGGTCTTGTGCTCCTGACCTCGTGATCCACCCGCCTCGGCCTCCCAAAGTGCTGGGATTACAGGTGTGAGCCACCGCGCCCAGCCCTTTTTTTTTTTTAAAAGATGTTTACTCTGGATTTCTTATTTGTTTTGCCTCAGTTCAGCAAAAGGTCACAGGCCACACATCACTGATCTCCAGAATAAAACACAGTTGTTTCAAAAAATAACTTGAAAGAAGAAAGATGGTTTGCAGGGACATGGATGAACCTGGAAACCATCATTCTCAGCAAACTGACACAAGAACAGAAAATCAAACACCGTATGTTCTCACTCACAGGTGGGTGTTGAACAATGAGAACACATGGACACAGGGAGGGGAATATCACACACAGGTTCTGTAGGGGGCAAACAGGGGAGGGACAGTGGGGGGATGGGGAGTTGGAGAGAGAGAGCATGAGAAGCACCAGATATAGGTGATGGGGAGGAAGACAGCACATCACACTGCCATCTGTGTACCTATGCAACAATCTTGCATGTTTTTCACATGTACCCCCAAACCTAAAATGCCAAGAAAAAGAAAGGAAGAAAGAAAGAAAGATGGAAGAGGAGAAAAACCAAAGATTGAGAGACTTGAGATGATTGACAATATTGGGACTTGACTTGGCTCCTGATTAGAATATATGGGAAAAGCTATTTGAGATAGAAGTGTGCTCAGTCACTGAAGAGGTTGTATACTTTTGTGTGAAAATGGAATTAGAGTTTAAAAAGCATTCCCACAGTCTAAGGATGAATGCTGAAACATTTACAAGTTGTATGATATGCAAGTTTTTCTGCAAAATAATCCAGGGTGAGAGCTGGGATAAGGAGAAATGAAGGTGGCCACATGCTACTGGTCCTGGTAGATCAATGGCTCTGTGAGAGTTCACTGTATTATTGTTTTTAGGAGGGTTGGACCACGTGAAATTGCCATTTTTGTTAGCCAAAACGGTCACAAAATTTCAGGTTTCAATCTAATATGTAGGTTTTAAGATTTCTATAGCAAAGATTAAGTACTCCTAGAAGATTCTGAAATAACTTATCTCAAAATAGACTTAAATCCGAAAGGAAAAAAGGTCCTATCAGTATCTGAAAATGTTTTCTTGAAGTAGTGTCTCACTCTATTGCTCAGACTGGTGTGCTGTGGCATGATCTCGGCTCACTGCAACCTCTGTATCCCGAGTTCAAGTGATTCACCTGCCTCAGCCTCCTGAGTAGCTGGGATCACTGGTGTGCCATACAACGCCTGTCTAATTTTTGCATTTTTAGTAGAGACAGTGTTTCACCATGTTGGCCAAGTTGGTCTTGAACTTCTGACATCAAGTGATCCACCTGCCTTGGTCTCCCCAAGTGTTGGGATTATAGGCGTGAGTCACCGTGCAAAGCCATCTGAAGCCTTAAAAGATTGACTAGCTTATGAATTATAGGTCAAGGTCTGGAACTTTCTGTCCCAAGATTATCAAAGGTGAATTTCACTTTTTAAAAATTGTTTTTTAGAGATGGGGTTTCAGCATGTTGGCCAGGATGGTCTCGATCTCTTGACCTTGTGATCTACCCGCCTCGGTCTCCCAAAGTGCTAGGATTATAGGCATGAGCCACTGCACCCTGCCTTTTTGTTTTTTAAACAGTAGATCCAGGAAATTTTTAGACGAAGTCTTGCCCCGTTGCCCAGGCTGGAGTGCAGTGGTACCATCTCAGCTCACTGCGACCTCCGCCTCCTGGGTTCAAGCAATTCTTCCACCTCAGCCTCCTGAGTAACTGGGATTACAGGTGCGTGCCACCATGCTCAACTCATTTTTTAGTATTTTCTTTTAGTAGAGGCGGAGTTTAACCATGTTGGCCAGGCTGGTCTCGAACTCCTGACTTGTGGTCCACCTGCCTTGGCCTCCCAGTGTTGGGATTACAGGTGTGAGCCACTGTGCCGGGCCAGATTTCACTTTTATTGAGAGGTTTCTGGGGGCAAAGGGATCTTAGCATGAGAAGTTGTAGAGCACAGTGGTGAGGGCTTCAGCTTTAGGCAGAGGGTATGCTCAGCTACGTGCTGTGGGACTATTGGTGAACTACTTAACCTTTCTGAGCTTCAGTTCACTAGTTTGCAAAAGGAGATAACATACGTGTTGCAGAGTTAAATGTAAAAAAAAAAAAGTAAGTTCTCAGTACAGTGCCCAGTCTGAGTTGAGTAAATGCTCACAACTGTGTGTCTTCAGATGTCACACGTTAGGGGGACTACAGATGTCATGTCACAGCAGTTGTGCTCAAAGACTCTTAACAAGTGATCTAGTCCCATGGGGGCCATTCTACCACCAGAGGACACTCAGTGATGCCTGGAAACATTTTTTTAATTTTAATTTTTACTTTTTGGAGATGGAGTCTTGCTCTGTCGCATAGGTTGGAGTGCAGTGGCATGATCTCAGCTCACTGCAACCTCTGCCTCCTGGGTTCAAGCAATTCTCTGTCTCAGCCTCCCAAGTAGGTACATGCCACTATGCCCAGCTAATTTTTGTATTTTAGTAGAGACGGGGTATCACCATGTTGGCCAGGTTGGTCAACACGCTAGGATTACAGGTGTCACTGCTCCTGGCCCAACATTTTCAATTGTCATAATTCTGTTTGCATGCATATGTGAGAGTGGCATCCAGTTGGTCAAGGCCAGGGATGCTGCTAGACATCCTATAATGTGTAGGACAGCCCCCACAAGGAAGCAATGCAGCCCAAAAGGTCAATAGGGATAGAGCTGACAAAGTCTGCACTAGTCCTATTCCCAGTGTTTCTTCCAAGTGTAATCCTGACACTATCTGTGTCAGTCATGTAGATCATGACTTCAGTGTTGTTTCCCAGGCTTTACCCTAGACTCACTGAAAACTTATGGCAGGGGGAAGGGTGGTAGTGTGGATCAAGTAGAGGTAGATTCCAGGGACTTGCAATTTTTTTTTGAGACAGGGTTTTTTGGTCACCCAAGCTGGAGTACAATGGCACAAATGTGGCTCACTGCAACCTCTGCCTCCCAGGCTCAAGCCATCCTCCTTCCTCAGCCTCCCAAGTAGCTGGGACCACAGGCATGCACCACACCTAATTTTTGTATTTTTTGCCAGTGGTTCTCAGACATAAGTGTGTATCAAAATTGCCTAGAAGGCGGCTTAAAACTGAGGCGGCATGGGCACCCCCTTTGCAGTTCCCGATTGAGTAGGTCTAGGGTGGAGTTGGTGATTTCTCACTTCTAACAAGTTCTCAATTGATGCCCATGCAGGTCTGGGAACCATACTTTGGAGACTTTTGCTCTGTGAGCAAGAAACTGGCTCAAATGCTCAAGGCTGCAGGACTGGAAGTTTTCAGTTCATTGGAACCCACACTCACCAGATCTGCAGCCCATCCTATGGCCCTCAGGGGAAGACAGAAACAAAACTTCTTTACTTAGCAACTCACATACTAGAAAACCATTAAACTTTTTTTTTTGAGATGGAGTTTTGCTCTTGTTACCCAGGCTGGAGTGTAATGGCACAATCTCGGCTCACCACAACCTCTGCCTCCTTGTTCAGGCAATTCTCTTGCCTCAGCTTCCTGGGTAGCTGGGATTACAGGCACGCGCCACCATGCCCAGCTAATTTTTTTTTGTATTTTTAGTAGAGACGGGGTTTCACCTTGTTGACCAGGATGGTCTCGATCTCTCGACCTCGTGATCCACCCGCCTTGGCCTCCCAAAGTGCTGGGATTACAGGCGTGAGCCACCGTGCCTGGCCCAAAAAACCATTAAACTCTTGAGGGTTTTAACTCCACAGAAGTTAAGCAAGACTGAAAACAAATCTAAGTGAGGCACTGTATAACAAAGTGGTTTTGGGGAACAGACTGGGAAGCCAGCTGGTAAGTTTCAAATTTCATTTATTATGCAGTCTTGATCTGGTTGCCCAGTTTGGAGTGCAATGGCATGATCTTGGCTCACTACAACCTCTGCCTCCCAGGTTGAAGCGATCGTCTCGCCTCAGCCTCCTGAGTAGCCAGGATTACAGGAGTGCACCACCATACCTGGCTAACTTTAGTATTTTTAGTAGAGACGGGTTTTACCATGTTGGCCAGGCTGGTCTCGAACTCCTGACCTTGTGATCTGCCCACCTCGGCCTCTCAAAGTGCTGGTATTACAGGTGTGAGCCACTGCACCTGGCCTCAAATTCCAGTTTTACCATTTATTAGTTGTTGCCTCCTGGGTAAGCTACTCAACTTCCCTGTTCCTCAGTTTCCACATCTGTGAAATGGGGATTATGGCCCCTGTTGTCATTGGCTTAGATGAAGTTCTTTAGTATATGTAAGAGAACCTTCTGTGTTAGTCAACACTGTATAAATGTTATTAGTGTTATTCA